TAATCTTTAAAGCGTTTTTCGATAATTACTTGTAGTTTTAAGGATAATTACTTGTAGTTTAAGGATAATTACTTGTAGTTTTAAGGATAATTACTTGTAGTTTAAGGATAATTACTTGTAGTTTTAAGGATAATTACTTGTAGTTTAAGGATAATTACTTGTAGTTTTAAGGATAATTACTTGTAGTTTAAGGATAATTACTTGTAGTTTTAAGGATAATTACTTGTAGTTTAAGGATAATTACTTGTAGTTTTAAGGATAATTACTTAGTTTTATGGATTTATCATATTAAAGAAGTTATGACACCAGATATGTCCACTAATGATTATATAATCTTATTGGCCAAGTTTGAAAATTCAAATTTTATGTTTATTTAAGAGGTAGTGTTCCTTTAAAACAATTCTTATTTAGTCATCCAAACAATAAACATAGCAAAATTATCTGATAATGATAATTGTGCTCAATCTTATGATAAAAGGGTTAATAACAAACCTTGGATGAAGACTCAGTAGCTGGTATTTCCATAGCAGCATTGATATCAAATTCTGGTCTAGATCTTGTATCAAAGTCTGTTTCCTGTAATTATAATCATTTTAAATTTAAAACAATACTTATTTCTAGAATATAATACAATAATCATTATAAACCATTATCTATTAAATATAAATATAAACCCCCATTATCATGATAATTATAGTGATACTAGGGTCATTATGTTGACTTGAACAACAAGTTCAGAATCTTTGTAATAAAAGGGATTGTAAAGAGGTTTTCAAAATTTTGTATGTGTATCAGTGTCCCGATACGCATATCACAAATTTGAGAAAAATTCTTTACAATCCTTTTAAAGTCTCCATTTTATATAATGTATAATTTTGTCATAATAACCTGTCATTAATTAACTATAAATATACATATAAAAATCTGATATACAAATTAGGAATTTGACAAATTTGAACTATAATTTGCCACTGTAATTCTATTATCAACAATAATCAACTGTACACTCAAACCCTAAAATTAAATTAAAAGTCATAACAATTCCATAATTTCATAGCAGAAAACAGATGTAGAAACACTTTGAAAATCTTGTTTTATCCCAAACTTGACCAGAACAAATCCTTTCTTTTAAAAACCTGGAGACTACATTATGTATTATTGTTCTACTATTCCAATAAGTTTCCACAAGAGCTCTGAAAAGTCCCAATTTTGTCCAAAACCTTAACCATATCAAATACACTATAACAGAAGATAAAATAACAAAACAATCCTACAATTTTAAAATAACTTTCCTCCTAAAACCTTAACCTTAGCAATTTCACTGTCTCTTTCTAATAACCACCTGAAGACTAAATAATGAAAGAAATGATTGTACTATAATTTCTAGTTGATTAGTAAAACATACAATATACAATCACAGTCTTACAATTACTAACAAAACAATATCAATATCATTCTTCTATTCTCTACTGATTTACATTATAATAACAATATCATTTTATAATAACAATATCACTTTATAATAACAATATCATTTTATAATAACAATATCATTTTATAATAACAATATCACTTGTTATACTTGAACTCTGATCTGGTCAAGTTCTCTTCATTTCAAAAATCTTATTACACTAGTCAAACAAATCAAATAAATATCCCAAAACTAATCAAGCAATTTGAATAAATATTGTTACACTAGTCAAACAAATCAAATAAAATAATGAAGAGCAATTGACTGACATAGATTTCTCACTTGAAATTTCAAATTGAAAATATTGTTACAGTAGTCAAAAAAAACCTCAAAAACTTTTGTAATATACGGTACTGGTCAAGAAAAAAATAAACATTATAAATAAATATTGTTACACTAGTCAAGAATTGTAATATTGTTACACTAGTCAAGAATTGTAATAAATATTGTAACCCTAATCAAGAATTGAAATAAATATTGTTACACTAGTCAAGAATTGTAATAAATATTGTTACACTAGTCAAGAATTGTAATAAATATTGTAACCCTAATCAAGAATTGAAATAAATATTGTTAGACTATTCAAGAATTGAAATAAATATTGTTACCCTAGTCAAGAATTGACATAAATATTGTTACCCTAGTCAAGAAATGAAATAAATATTGTTACCCTAGTCAAGAATTGTAATAAATATTGTTACACTAGTCAAGAATTGACATAAATATTGTTACCCTAGTCCAGAAATGAAATAAATATTGTTACCCTAGTCAAGAATTGAAATAAATATTGTTACCCTAGTCAAGAATTGTAATAAATATTGTTACACTAGTCAAGAATTGTAATAAATATTGTTACCCTAGTCAAGAATTGAATTAAATATTGTTACCCTAGTCCAGAAATGAAATAAATATTGTTACCCTAGTCAAGAATTGACATAAATATTGTTACCCTAGTCAAGAATTGAATTAAATATTGTTACCCTAGTCCAGAAATGAAATAAATATTGTTACCCTAGTCCAGAAATGAAATAAATATTGTTACCCTAGTCAAGAATTGAAATAAATATTGTTACCCTAGTCAAGAATTGACATAAATATTGTTACCCTAGTCAAGAATTGAATTAAATATTGTTACCCTAGTCCAGAAATGAAATAAATATTGTTACCCTAGTCAAGAATTGAAATAAATATTGTTACCCTAGTCAAGAATTGAAATCAATATTGTTACCCTAATCAAGAATTGAAATAAATATTGTTACCCTAGTCAAGAAATGAATTACTAATCATAACTATAGAACAGAATCCCTATATAATCTATGAAACGAAGTAATAATCCATCAAACTAAGTAATTTCAAAACGCTTAAGCTTTTTTCAATAATTATTTAGTTATCAAATGGATATATCATCATATATAGAGACTCTGTTCTTTAGACATGGGACCTGGTAAATCCATCTGATAAATATATACTCGTATTGACCAAGTTTGAAATTTAAATTTCATGTCCAACTAAGAGGTAGTATCCTTTTTGAAATAAATTGGAAAATGAAACTCACTGTTAAATTAAGCACCATATTGAATTTCAGCACAAAACGTCACAGATTGAAATTAAATCAAATATTTTAAAATTCTAAACTAATACCAAATATCCTTGTGAGCTAAAAATCAGTATCCATACAAGACTATAGAATTGCCTTGACTTGTTGTCAGTCATGGTCGTCAAATGTCATAAAAGTCTATTCACAATGTAAATGGACAGTATTGTGTGTAGTTTAGCGGTTACTTTCAATATACATAGATATCAATATCTTATTATCTCATATTGATGGCTATAAATAATACACCATTGTTCCAGTCTTTCCTGTTATAACAATAGACTGAATATTACTCTCTGTTTGTACTTAGATTTTCTTATAAAGGGCAAGAGGTGGCAAAGTTTGTTTACTGTCATGTTCAAGGGCATGCTATATTTTGATCAGATGTAATTAAAGTAACCATGTATAATAAAATATTGCGTTTATGCCTCTGTGAGTATGTTGATTGTAGGTGGAAGCACCAGTTACCTGGATGTTTGCATACAATTAGGGGGTAGAATGATGAACTAGGGACAAATGTGGAAGACCAAGCCTGAAATGGAGGTTTGAGGGGGTACAGTCCAAAAAATTTTTTACAGAATGAAATCGATTTGGTGCATTTTGACACAATTTTTTGGATTACGTTGATATTAGTGAGACTGCAAGTCTTTGTATTTTCTATTTATGTTGACTTACCTGTTTGTTTTTCTGTGATATGGAACTAGATATGGCACTACGTTGTTTAGACTGTGATTTAGGTTCTTTAGGTGGTTCCGGGGTCCGTAGTTTTGGTAAATCTGGAGGTTCAGGAAGTACTGTTAGTGGAACTTCTGGTGCTTCAGATCTGAAAATAATTTCATAGACATATAATAATTAATTCTTTACTGGCACAGATGTGTTGTTTTCACTACACTTGTTAAAGTATCTTGAAATTACACATAGAGTTTGACAATGAATTTAGTAATAGGGATTGTAAAGATGTTTTCTAAAATTTGTATATGTATCAGGAGAATCATTTCAATTTTCAATCAGACATCTGCGCTTCCTGCAATTCCACTTAAACTAAGATTTGATGATTTCACTAATCTTGAAAGGCCTTATAATACAATCATATTTAGAGATTAGTGATGTCATCAAAGACTATGTTCTAATGGAATTGCAGGAACTACAGACATCAGATTGAACATTATAGGAATGATGCAAATTGATGCTGTCAGTGTCCCAGATACACATACAAAATTTTTCTTTAAAAATAGTGGCATTAACATGGTAAGATGATAATAGTAGATCTACCTTTCCATTGTTATAGTTGATAAAAATAAACCAGATAGGTATAAATTATTCTACAAACTTTCTAATTGTCATTATCTATTGTCTTTACCTCATAATGTTATGATGTCATAGTTGAATATTCAATTCATTGTGTAAATATAATCATGTGTGTTTTTGACACCCTGGAGCTGACCTGTACAACCTAACAGATTTCATTTGAAAAGAGATCTTCAGCAACAAGATGTGTAACTGTGAATTCTTCGCATCTATTTATAGATTTTTGAAGGAGAAGGCTTAACCCTTTGAACCCTGAGAGTAAATCATATACCCTGAACTCAAAGTAATAAAAGTAAAAGCGTATGACGTTAAAGTTGTATGACATCACTTAGCAACGGCCGGTATACCGCTGCTCGGGTATATATTGTGCTAATGTTTGGCCCCTAGAGTTGAAAGGGTTAATGCATAGGCTATATGGTAATTGCAGAGATGACAAAATGCAGAGGTGATGCCTGCAATTCAAGGTGACTTATGGGTATTGCAAAAGTTAGTAAATTCATTCCAAAAATGCAATGTAGTGGGCCCAACTAACAAGAGGTCATTGTGAAGCAACATTCTGGAGATGGGTTTATATTTCAAAGATGGTTTTCTCCTTTTGGTCTCAGGTACTCTTAATGGCAGACACAGTTTTGTTAAATTAATAAACCAACCTTATGTCTGGTTCTTTTACTTGTACAGGTGAGGGAGAGCGCCGTCTGGTCTTTGGATCTGGAGTGACTTCCCTTTCTTTCACAGGTGGTGGTGGCTGTTCTTTCTCTTTCTTTTCTTTCTTCGTGACAGGAGATCTAGGAGTTTTAACGGTTTCTTCATCATTACCAGTATCATCATTATTTTCAGCCTTGACATCATCATCTTTATTTGAGGAACTTATTATTTTATTCAGCAATTCCAAGGCATCATTGTCACTCTCTGTTTTCTTCTTGGATGATGTTTGAACTTTCTTTTTATTATTGTCATCTTTAGTAATCTTTTTATTACCATGGATTTTGCTAGCTGGCTTTTTTGACTTTGGTGTCTATAATACAAAGGAATATAACGTTTGCTATTAACATTTTAACAGTTGTATTTGTGATATCGCTCTACAATTGATGAATTGAGCACTATTATTAACATGGAACAATGAAATAGAAAGAAGGACTAATTTGATTTGTAGGAATCACATGTTTTCAAGATTTTGAATACCATGTCATTTTTTTTTCCAATTCTATTTGTTCAATCTTGAAATTGAAATCTCTTAAAATAACTTTGTTTAAGATTGCCCTTTTAGATATCTTGTCATGTTTCCACACCATTTTAGTAATGAACACTATGAAATTGTGGTTATTTTGAGGTTGCAGTAGAATTAGAGAAAGGAAGAAATAAACATTAAACCAACCTTATTTGAGAGACCATGAGGAGGCTTGGAGACAGGAAAACCAAATCTTATTACACCTAAAATTATTGTACAAAAGTTATTTAATTTATCCAATACATAATGTAAAAAAAAAGATTAATGTTAAGCAATTTTATATGGTTGGAGGCAAAAAGTTCATGAAATACAATGGGTAAAGTGCCAAATTCAATGGACTTGTTAAGTTGGTAATGATTAGGCATTTTTAAGATGGACTGTAGAAGTCAATGACATCATTTGCTTAGTTTTATTGAAATAGTTGTCATAGGTTCTAATCTGAATCGACATGTGAAAATCTAGTGACCTTGAATAAGTCATCTTCACTCATAATTCCAGTCAATCCAGCAGTAAATGGGTACAGATAAACTGGGAAAAAAAGATACCAAGCGGTTTGATCAAGAACTGGCTGGTATATATTAAGTTGTTATTTCTGTCTTTGTGTTGATGTCTCATGTAATCAAGTCAAGACTATTAAAAATGTTTAATTGTTGACTTAAATCAGTTATTACCTTTATTATTATTTTGTTGTTTTTTATTATCATCTGATTTTTTTGGTGAAATAACTACTCCTATAATATAAACATCAATAATAATATTATTAACAAATGTGATTTAAATGTCATATAAGTGTAGATGTAAGTGTATTAGGGACAAATGAAGTAAGGAAACACTATACAGTGTGCAATGTAGGAATTTTTGCAAAGACAACGTCATAAACCTACTCTTTTTAAAATTTCAAACTGTCAAGGGTTGTTAAACGTTCACATCCAGTAGCATATGGGACCTCAGTAATACACTTTTTCAATAGCAGCCCCTCAGACCTGCATCATTGACAGGTGGAAATCAGGTTGAAATATCCGAAGGTACTATCTCGAACTATGCCAGGATTGAACCCTGGACCTTCAGGTTAGGGAACAAGCATCTAACTCACCAACCCACCATGACCCCAAGCAGCAAGAGATAAAAATATGATGTTAAGAAAATAAAACACATACCTATTGTTTGTTTATTATCACCAGTATTTCTATCAGTACCAGTTAAATCATTATCTACTATAGTAGGTCCTGTAGTACTAGGTGTTGTTCTTCCATCTATACCACTCACTATACTGTAAAAAAAAAATTTTTTAAAGGATGACAGAATTCAAATCATATTCATAATTATTTGAAATTTTTCAATAGATTCATACATGACTGGCAAATACAGTCCTAATCATTTCAACTGACATTACTTAAAGTTGACATCCGAGAATAATACGCCAGATATGACATCACTTAGTAATAATGCCCACTTCACAACATAACACAAATATGCAGCCTAAAGAGCAGTATCAAAGGGGTTAAAATACTCACCTGAAAGACCTTCTAGAATCAGTATCAAACTGACTACAACCATCATCTTCATTATCATTATCTTTACCAATACCATTATCATTATCCCAGTCTACCCATACTTCTCTAGGTGTACGACTAGATACTGGTCTGTCATGTAGATGGACTTTTTGTGTAAAAGTACAGAAATGTGGAGCATAACCTCTTAATAGCTGTAACATAATTACAAAAAATTGATACTTTTTATGAAATTCAAGATTTGGCTTTTGCACAGAATAAAAAATGTAGATTAAAGTCACTCATGAGCTATTTGCAAAGTTTTGAATTGTTTGTCATACAGACATAAATCACTGTCCTTTTTTCCCCATAACAGAATGCTGAATTCATCGATTCAGAGACAGAAAAATACATAAAACTGCATTTCATTTGAGAAATATAGCCCATCAAACTGATTAAATTGAAAATCTATGCATAATGATAGCTCACAAAGTTAGTTAAAACATCAGACATAGATTAATTTTCATGTATTTCAAAATGAGAAACTTGGAAAATGCGTTCGAAGAAAAGGTTTAATGCCATCTTTTCTAAGGGAGATAACTCTATTCATACTAAGACCACAACAAACTCCGTTTCTATTTTCAAGTTTATCATCATTATCCATATTCATGATGTCCTAAATCAAGGATCACATATATCTACTTCATTGAAAATTGCATGAATTGTAACATTTTAAAGGGAAGTAACTGCTGATAATTATCACCTGTGACCAAATTACAACAATTTTTTTTGCAAGTATCGTAAATAAAAGATTTTTTGTCTTCTAAATAGGATATTAATACTTACAAAGTTATCTTTCGATTGGTAATCTACACCAGAACCCTATAAATATGATAACAATAGATAATTTCACATATGAGAAGGATTTTAGATCTGCTCAAAACTGGTCAAAACGAATCTGCCAGCATTTTTCTGTAACTGACGAAAGTAAGTATCCAACATTCAGAAAGTTAGAAAACCTTGCAGTCATGGAATTCGGGAAAATCTCATCAATCATGTGTCAGTAGAAACCTATCAGACCTGAAAGTCAAGGGAAACCAGACCTGAAAGTCAGTAAAAACCCACCAGACCCGAAAGTCAAGAGAAACCAAACCGACCTGAAAGTCAGTAAAAACCCACCAGACCTGAAAGTCTAGAGAAATACATCAGTCCTGAAAGTCAAGAGCAATAGTCGACAAGGTCAAGGCCAAGTCCTTAGTCGTAAAAATCAGGAGAAACCAAGCAACCAGTCCTGATAGTGGACTTGATGCTGTGTAATTCACAGAAACAAGCCCGAAAGTACATATTTTACGTTGTGATGTAAGAATAAGATAGCAATTTTCCTAAAAATATAGAATATTGAAACATTGTAAATTATTAGAAAAACTAACTCTCTATTTTGGTGGGTTTGGGGTTGTAAAAATAAAAACCATTGAGAGAATAACTAAATACCGTACCCACGCATCGGTTTGTGGACGATGATAATCAATGTATCTCTGAATCCGTAAAGCCACATCTTCTTCTAAACCTTCTTCCACCAGACCTGACTGGTAACTTTTGGCTGATATTGGTCTGCTGGTGGAAAGGGTAGGATGGGAACCCGTTGGCAAGGCACCAGCAAAGAAGAGTCTTTGGGGCAAGAGAGGCTCTGAGATCACAGATTCGTCATAACACCTGGTATGTCTGCTCACATAAGGTGCTGATTTGTAGGTATTATTTAAGACTAGTCCATCATCCTGAATCAAGTCTACTGGAGTCCCCACATCATGTCTCCGGGACAATGATCTCCGACTTTGATTCAAAGAGTTCCTGAAACTATGACAGAAAGAAGTCCTCAAGGAAGGTGCTGATGGTAACGAACGGTGCGTCCCAGCACTCTTTATAAGTCTTTGAGACACAGTACGTCTGCTAGATGGTGGTCGTGCGCTGAAAGGTCTTTTATGATGATTTAGCGTCGCTCTTCCTGTTGGAACACTGTTGCAAGATATTCTGGATACAGCACTTTTAATCCGTGGTTTGCGAAGAACAACGGGTGTTGAGATTCTGATGTCAGCGTAGTTATCAATATATTCCTCAGCACATAATGAAAAATTATCATCTTCATAAGGAACGATTTCTTGTTCTATTTTCTGAGTGGTTTTTAATTCAGGTTTGTAGCCATCGGCTAACCACGGCAGGTCTAGTTTTAACATAGTTCAAGTTGACAATTATAATTAGATTTAAATCTTCATTTAGTAATACGAGCCTTTCACAATGGCGACTATACAAACAAATTTTACCGTTGTTTTATGTTGATATAAGCTACAACGAAACTATTATCAACTATAAGAGGTGAATAAATACTTCAAGTGAGACTTAACCCATAAATCACATCTAAGATTGTGGATATTTAAAGTATATATTTTCTCAATTTTTTTCAGTCTCTTGATCCATTTGTATCCAAATGCGTCCTCGATAATTCAAATAATCTTGTAACCAAATCCTCAGTTAGAAACACCTAACGTCACTGTGCGAATGCGTTAACTGTAATACTGTAGTACATCCAGACAAAAATGGTGTTATGTTCGCATATTCTAGGTCTGACACACAAAAAACATCCAGAAAAAATTTGAACAGCCAATTCAATCAAATAACCATTATAATCTACACTTCCGGATTACCTTATGTCACCGTGCACTTGGAATTCTCCCCAGAAAGATTCTTAAAGCGATTCTTAAAGCACAAATTAAAAATACTCCCTATCCCTTCCTTTCACATAAAAAAGTAGTAAGAACCAATTTAACCTATTAATCAATTCCCCATTAAAATATAATCCATTATAATGTCTGATATATCTAATAACAAGTTCCGATCAATACCAATTTATCAGGACGACTACACGAAATCTTTGAATAGCTTTTTAACATGAAACACATTGACATACGTTTGATCTATGTTTGGAAGAAACCCTGAGATCTATCAGTTATTCATATGGGCGAATGGTCGGCTATTACTCATTTTCAAACAAAATCCACACGAAATCCCTTTAAATCTTCCAATTCAAATGATGTTGGTCTCAAAATCCTTCCTAAACGACGACCAAAACACAAATGGCGACAAAACGGAAACCAGAAAAGGTTCGTTCAAGCGACTTGTTTCTACTTGAAAGGGTTAATGAACATGTATTGAATAGTTAATCTAGACTAGAGTATATTAAAGATATAGTCTATATTGTAACTATATACAATAGAGATTTAATTACCCCATACCTTGTCAAATGATTACCTTAACACTCGGTTAGATTAACCCTTTAGCCTTCGATTCAAGTCGTGAATTGCCATGTGGATTGCTACAGTAACCGAAATTAAAATGTAAAGTATTGGCCAATCTATCAAACGAAATACCGTATCCAACTAGCAAGTAGATTGTCTTCAGAAGGACAGTTTTGTAGTCGATATTCATTGGATGCGTCATATCACGTCTGATTTAGTCTGTAAAAATACACTTAAGATTTCATCCGCATAAATCACGGCACTTAATGTACATAATGTGCTACATATAATGTTGTATACATAGTAGTATCTAAAAGATAAAAGTTATAAAGTCTTTGCGGCAAACCATACCAACCACAGGCTTGTTTTTGTCTTAGATGATTATATAAGAGAATATTAAGCACATATATCGACTCCATACTGGATATTATTTCTCACAATATTGATGTTAGGTCGTTAATCCCCGTTAATCTCTTTATATCATATAATTATTATCATGGGATCGACAGGGTTGGTGTTTCCGAAAAAAATATTATTCAATTCAGATGACTGATACTCCTTCTACACCTAAAAATTTTAAACCTACCAATAGTAGTGCTAAAGCCTATAATTTAAAAGGATACTACCTCTTAGAATGGACATACAATTTAAAGTCTCAATTTGGTCAACAAGAGTATATATTCATCATATGTCTAGTGTCATGACTAAAGAATATAATCTCTATTAAAGGCGATATGTCTATTAAACTAAGTTATTAATGAAAAACGCTTTAAAGCGTGTTTCAAAATTACAAAGTTTGGTGGATTATTATTTAGTTTTTTGGATATAATGGATTATAGAGATATTTAGTCGTTTTGTTTTGACATCAGGTAATTCCATTGATGAACAAAGACTCATCTTGTTATAAAATTCCATTTTTATGGACTAGGAAGAAACTTCCCTTTAATATGACCTAAAGTTTTTGAAATTTGAAACAGTTGCACTTAGTGACAAATAAATGTGCAAGATTAAGTTAGATTAAATAAGAGTTGGTTCTGCTGACGTCAGTAAATAAAAAGATTATCAGAGTATCATTATCAGTGTAATATCAAGTTACATAACATTGATACCAGGGTGTTATATATATAATCTAATAGAAAAAAAGTGAAGAGGCGGTCGAAAGGTGGTCAGTCTGATTGTCGATGATTTGGAGAGGGTGGAAAAGATCAATGTCTTGGAGAAGTTGGAAAAGATCAATGTCTTGGAGAAGGTGGAAAAGATCAATGTCTTGGAGAAGGTGGAAAAGATCAATGTCAACGAGAAGGTGGAAAAGATCAATGTCTTGGAGAAGGTGGAAAAGATCAATGTCTTGGAGAAGGTGGAAAAGAACAATGTCTAGGAGAAGGTGGAAAAGATCAATGTCAAGGAGAAGGTGGAGAAGATCAATTTCTCGGAGAAGTTGGAAAAGATCAATGTCTTGGAGAAGGTGGGAAAGTTCAATGTCTTGGAGAAGGTGGAAAAGATCAATGTGTTGGAAAAGGTGGAGAAGATCAATGTCAAGGAGAAGGTGGAAAAGATAAATGTCTTGGAGAAGTTGGAAAAGATCAATGTCTTGGAGAAGTTGGAAACGATCAATGTCTTGGAGAAGGTGGAAAAGATCAATGTCTTGGAGAAGGTGGAAAAGATCAATGTCTTGGAGAAGGCTGAAAAGATCAATGTCTTGGAGAAGGTGGAAAAGATCAATGTCTTGGAGAAGGTGGAAAAGATCAATGTCTTGGAGAAGGTGACAAAAATCAATGTCTTCGAGAAGGTGGAGAAGATCAATTTCTCGGAGAAGTTGGAAAAGATCAATGTCTTAGAGAAGGTGGAAAAGATCAATGTCTTGGAGAAGGTGACAAAAATCAATGTCTTGGAGAAGGTGGAGAAGATCAATTTCTCGGAGAAGGTGGAAAAGATAAATGTGTTGGAGAAGTTGGAAAAGATAAATGTGTTGGAGAAGGTGGAAAAGATAAATGTGTTGGAGAAGTTGGAAAAGATAAATGTGTTGGAGAAGGTGGAAAAGATAAATGTGTTGGAGAAGGTGGACAAGAACAATGTCTAGGAGAAGGTGGAAAAGATCAATGTCTTGGAGAAGATGAAGAAGCTGGAGAAAATCGAATGATGGGACAAGTTGGAGAAGATAGATGTCTTGGTGAAGTTGAAGAAGATCAAAGTCATGGAGAAGTTGGACAAGATTGATGTCTTGGTGAAGTTGAAAAAAATCGATGACTTAGAGAGGGTGGAGAATGTACATGATTTGGTGAAGTTGAAGAAGATCGATGACTTATAGAGAGTGGAGAATGAATATGATTTGGTGAAGTTGAAGAAGATCGATGACTTAAAGAGGGTGGAGAATGTACATGATTTAAAGAAGTTGAAGAAGATCGATGACTTAGAGAGGGCGGAGAATGTGCATGATTTGGTGAAGTTGAAGAAGATCGATGACTTAGAGAGGGCGGAGAATGTACATGACTTAGTGAAGTTGAAGAAGATCGATGACTTAGAGAGGGTGGATAATGTACATGATTTGGTGAAGTTGAAGAACATCGATGACTTAGAGAGGGCGGAGAATGTACATGATTTGGTGAAGTTGAAGAAGATCGATGGCTTATAGAGAGTGGAGAATGTACATGATTTGGTGAAGTTGAAGAAGATCGATGACTTAGAGCGGGTGGAGAATGCATGTACATGATTTGGTGAAGTTGAAGAAGATCGATGAATTAGAGAGGGTGGAGAATGTACATGATTTGAAGAAGTTGAAGAAGATCGATGACTAAGAGAAGTTGACTTAAGGTGGGAATATGGGAGTTTTGGACAAGTTGATGAAGATCGAGGAATTGATTAGGATAGAGAAGATCGATGGACTTAAACGAATCACATTAAAAATCGTCCATTTGCACAGACAGTCATCGAAAGAACACTGTATTGTCAAGAATTCTACTCTTCTTTTTCGTAAATTCAATTCAAACGAAACAGTAAAGTATGAAGACCGTAAATATGTAAAAAATGAAATCTTTGAAAATATCGGAGAAGAAAATATGGCAATTTCTAAAACACCACCCAAACATTCTTATACGTCATTGTCTATGATATTGACAAATTAATGACTTGATACTAATAATCTGTTCGTGATATCTCTCGAATTTCATTAAACGCGTTGCCATACACATTTTCATATAGGCGTCAATCAAGCTTAAAATTAATCTTAAAAAATCTTTTATGAAAATAGCAACGATATTTTATTGTCAACATGTAGTGGGTCTGAAGGTTTTATAGGATTAGCATAATTTCACTTTTCCTTGTGAAAGTTCTTGTAAAATTGGCTTTGTTAGGAGGATAAGCTGGAGGCATGTCTGTCATGCGCACCTCATTACATGTTGGTTCCAACTACCCCACCAACATGAGATTCTGAAATTGTTTTTATGACATAAAATTTTAAGATTGGGGATTAAAGCCCTAGAATAAAGAATTAAATATTGTATGATCTATTGGCCTTGGCTTGATCTTTTGTGTAGTAGCTCTTAAGTAGCATAACTAATATCTTACCTTTCCCCACTTTGAAAATATCCAATTCAAAAACTGATTAACGCTTCCAAAATATTTGACTACCCTTTGTCTCGGATCTTCTAATTCATGACACAAACTGCACCTTCTCCCGTGATGCTGATGATCATCAGAACCTAAATATGCTGATGAAAGTCGTTTTTGAGTGACCGTTATATCCGGAAGTGTTGATCCAAACGATTCTAAGTATGGTGGTGGTGAACAGCTGCTTCCAAATCCACTAGATGATAAAGACCAGATGGATTCAGTTTCCGAATCTGATCCGCAAACACAGATGATGTCACTAAATGTCACTCTTCTACCACCCAGTCGTCTGCCTCTGACTGAATCTCCTCGGGTTTTAGATTGGTGATTGAGTATTGATGGATATAGAGCTGCTAAGTGAATTGCCTTCAAATCATCATCGGGTATCACTAAATCAGACAGATCCATAAAATCGTTGTCTTCTCTAACTCTTACTCTGGGTATCAACATGGACGGAACGGTTTTGAAGGAGACATGTCGGTTCCCCAGACTCTTTCTGACCTTTTTGTCACCATCTAAAATGAAGTTCTGGGTGACCACAGTTGGTGATAATGGTTTATATGGTACTGTGTAGGTTTTTTCTTCTCCAGTTGGGATGGTGAATGTAACACGTATTGGAGGCATCTTGATCGATCCTTGGAACACACTACCTCCTCGTTCTTTTCAGATCTGGTCACTTATTTATACAATACTAGTGCCAAAATTGATATCCTAAATCCAAATGCAGTTTTCTGGACTGTATTCAGAAAGTGGTGTCGATTTTCCGAATTCAATTATAGTATTCCAGAATGAGTTTTACCTAAGTTTGATTATCACAATAAGGTTCCAAAATATATTTCCCAAATCCTAACACTTTATTCTGGACTGTTTGTGACTCAAGTCCAAATAGTCAGATTACTTTCCATGTACACATTGAATAGGTTGATAAGGTTGTCATATAGAAATCAATGCAACAGATAATCACTAGTAAAGAAGTCCATTAAAATTGAATAAAAGATTAACGTTCAGGATTACAAGTTCCTATTCAGAAACACTTCTTTTGATAGAGCGCTCTATTGATATGAAACATAATGAAGTGTATCTGAATGGAGCAGATATAAACTTCGACCACAGAAGACTGTGTCGCCTGTATTTTGGTATTGTTTATATCAATAGTGCTAAACCCCTTTTCAAATATTATCATTATCTATCATTTCACACTAATACCCTACTTGTTTTCTTTACAACTTTTAATTTCATTTTAAATCGATTACCCAATAGTAATAGGCCCTACAGCTATACACAGATAACGGCAGAAGTACTAAAACTGTGCGAAAATCGCCTATGAAATTTCATTTTCTATTTTCTATTTCCAATCCTATGGTTTCTCTCCTACCTGACTATTACTTCTACCTGTTGTTAAAGGGTTAAAACAGAAATACGATGTGCTTTAAATGTGGTCGTATATTGCCGTCGCCCCCGTCCGTCCGTCCGTCCGTAGGACAAGTTTGAATTTGACATTTTTTCAATCAACAAAATTTGAGATATTGGCCTTGACTTAGTAAAACGCATCAACATTTGGTGGCTTGTGAGCACGATAGAGGTGACAGTTTATGTCAGAATTTTATTAAATTTTGTGTGTACTGATTAGATTTTTGGTATGATTTGACGCAGATTGAAGACTGCCCTTTTTATACTGAAAATGTATCAGGAAAGTGGGCGTATCTTGCTCGGCAACCACTTGTTAGTGGTTAGAGTAGTCCCTCGTGTTTCAAAGAAACTAGCTCAATAATGCTCATCAGTGGTTACAAAACATGTATTAAATGTATATCAATTATCATTATGCCAGAAGGGCAGTGGCAACAAATCAGACAGTAGATTTACAAGATTAGTATGCAGCACGTTTACCTTATTCTCTGACTCTTTGTGACGTACGATAAGACATGAGTTCTGAACAATATTGTGACACCTTGCCAACAGACCAGATAACGATCTGGAAGATGTACGTACAAGAGTTCGAGGATTATGAGAGGGGATGAAAGATCTAGACTACGGTGACAATTATTGCAAATATGCTTCTCTGTCATTAATTAAATTAAATTGTGACAATGAAGGTCGGGTTGCGACTGACTGAATTTGAGAACAATTGGATATTCAACGACTGGGACATTCTGATCAATCGCTAGGTTCAGTAGAAATGAGCATGACATGCTGGTTTTTAAGTTAAAATCGAGTACGAAGTAAAATATCCAATTTACCAATCATCAATTCTAGAATTTCCTCGGCCCGACATTTTATTCAAAACAGAAGAATTTTTCTACTGAAAGATGATAGGGATATATTAGGCGAAATTGAATTCCATAATTATATATATGTGAGTACATTATTTATGTATTATAATCATAGAGTAAGGGGTGTTACGAGTGTTAATGAGAATCTGAAATGCGAGTTAATGAACACTATAATATAAATTAACATCTAGACTATTATCATTCTACATAGAGACTATAAGAAATTCTTTAACCACCGTGAAAGCACATTTCTGTTCACGACAGCCCGGATGTAATACATATAATTGAAAATGGCATCACCGAAATCCCATCCTTCGGAAGACAATGGAGTTGACAATGTTGTGTTCGATCACTTGGAGGAGAAGCCCAAGAAAGACAATGGAGGTAAGTAAACTCGTATATTTAACAGAAATGTGATATATTTAATAGAAATATAATATACATGTATTGCCATGTATATAAGGAGAAAAGGAAACAAGGGCGTTTCCTAATAGATGGATTTTATTTCACGCTGATGGCACTTTATGGCTTCTATCGGAAAACAAGACCTACATTGCTTCTGTAGTAAAAGGTCTGCTTATTGTCACAAATGACATGTTGTACTATCGCTGGACATCACAAGGTGCACCACATTTTTATAGTTTTAACAATGACGTGGATACTTATTATACTGACTTGCTCGGATAATATAGTGATCTGAATATTAAATATGTGTTTGATGACGTCACTTAATGCTTTATCACATCTAAGGGCCATTCGCTTAGTTTTAGTGGAATTGCAGGAACCACAGACATCTGATTGAAAATTGGAATGGTGCGAATTGATATTCTCATTGTCCCGATACACATAAAAAATTTAGAAAACTTCTTTATATTCCCTTTAAACCTGATAAGACACATTCTCTTATATCAGTATCACCTTTCTAAATTTAAACATGCGGTTTCTGCTCCGTCTGCAATTCAAATTATTACTGAGGAAAGTGAAACTGTTTCACTTTCAATATTCGGTAACGTTGGCTCCCTTGAAGTTGGTTAATTATTATTTTGTTATAACTACCTCCCTTACACTTGAACAGTTTTAAATATATGTCCTCACTTGGACCTTCTTTTCATCTTTACAAATCATACTTGGTATTTGAAGGTGCGTACACACGAACGGTCTTGGTCGGAGATTTTTGTCGTCAACTAGATTCTTGTTAAGAGTTTCACAGCATACGAGGAGACAAATTTCTTCATTCGGTCGTTTTCCGCGGAGAATGCAAATGAAAGGAAAATGAATCTGACTGGATGATGACGGTGATGTGTCTCGCAGACGATCAAACTTGTTTGGTATTGTATATCCTTGGTATCCTTGGTATTGTACGCGATAATCTTGTTGTGGAAGCACAGGCACACGAGAGATTTTACTAAGTCTCTAATCGGCCACAAAAATATTCGACCGAGATCACTCATGTTCCCCCACATTAAAGCCTTTTGTTTTATTCCTAAAATTTTCTCGAAAGTTGACTGTTGACTCTAAAGGTTGAGATGATAACTGATAAAATTATAATTTATAGAGCAATTATATTTCTATTCCAATTCTCAAATGAACAAATGAAATACAGGCATTCGCTTAAATGGAACACGAAACATTAATCAATGATTTATATATAGCCTACAATAGACAATATAGGCTAATATACAGATAACACTAACAGTTGAGTTTTAAGATTTTAAAATCTAGATAAAAAAGGCCTTTTTTAGATAAACATGATAAACCTAACATAAACATAATGTGTCCACGTTGAATCGGTCTGAAAGGCTATCGCGTGTTGGCTCATCATCGATTTAACATTGTGGGGTAACTGGTATAATAGAGTAGAACGAATAGTCCATGACACAGTTTCAAGAAGTAGAACAGTTTACCGGCATTTTACTGTTATATTGATACAAAACAAGATTTCTACAACATAATAGCACATTATTATGTAAGTAATAATATAAGCAACAAGCACGCTTTTCAACTTTCTAAGATAGGTGATTTCTCATGAAGAAGATTTGACCAGATGTAAGATTTTCATCATACATTTCTCATTTTACTATATTTAGATTATTACTCTACATGACATAAAGCTAGACTCGATTATCTAGAACAGTTGAAATATTCGTCATCCATGGTTTGACTTTGGTTCTTCCATTCTTTTCGTATTTTCTAAATCAAGATCTACTATGGCTTGTAGTCTTGTAGTTTGTCTTTAAAACCACCCTTTATATAGTCTATTTAAACTATTATTATAATTTTCGTGATTTGTCAACGATATCCCGCGTGATGAGAAGAATATTGTATATTTTAAATATTTGTTATTATGATGTCGATGCTTTAAGAAAGGACGGTCTTCTATTGTTTGGTCTAATTCCTGTATCCGTTTTCTTTTTAGGCCTACAATCCGACATCATGTCATTACTCAATTGGGGTTTTAAATACAATTGTCTAATGTTTGTATCTGCATTGCCATGTCCTTATGTCACATTGAAATTTTGACTCAAAATTAAAGAGAGGTAAGTCTACGCGCCCTACTGCTGAGTTTGAATATAGTTATCATCGTAACAAAACAAATGGTTACCGTATGTCATTGTTGATATGAAACTTTGAATGGTTTCTTTCCAGATGTACCAGTTAATAGTCCAAGAATGGAAGAGAAGGAAACACCCGTTCAAAACAATGTCTTGCTAAAAGTCAACAATGGTTTGGAGGTTAAAGAAGAGAAACCTCGAGTGCGGACTCTTGGTGAAGGAATGAAAGATAAGGAGTATCGTGCCAAATTTTTTCACAGTTTAACACTAGCTTTTGCCTTTCTAACTCTGGTGGGTGCTATTGATAGTTGTTTATTTGCTATGCTTCCATGTCAACATTTTACAATGTAGCTTATCATTTAGAAGCTTGTTTTTAATTTTGTGATGCGTGGGTGTGTGTTACGGTAACACAGGCCTACATGTACATCTAAGGGCGTTAAGTTCTCTCAAGGTTGCACGTCACCCGCGAAAAGTCAAAAAATGAACCTCATTGACAAAAAGATCAGGTCGTATCTCATGATATTTAGTGGCGGGTGTCGCTCGTAAATCAGACCATGCGTAGGGCTACTCTTTTCGAAACACCCGGTGGCGGAGATACTTCTCTTTAGAGGAGTCTACTTTCGATTTTGCCATACATATACTTTGGATGAGATTTTGATTTACTGAATACTATTGTCATGCTTGTATGTATTTTTTTTATGATACCTCAGGACTTCGATCTGAATACAACGAAAAGATTTTTCGCAAACCATTACGATTTCATTCCATTGTAAAACGCGTTCCTCTGAATTTTTTTATTCTACAATGATGCTTTTTATTATAGGGTTTTCAAGTTGGACAACGAGGACCTTCCTTTCTGGATATCCAACTGATCACAGGGACTGATATTGAAAAAGCTTCAACATTTTTTACAGCTGGTTCAGTAGGGTACCTGTGTGGTTCTTTAGTAAGTGGTATCCTTATTGATAAGTTTAATAAGATACTTCTGTTAACTGTTTGTGTTACTGGTCTAGCGGTCACTTGTGCTGTAATTCCCCTTTGTTCCATCTATGGTTTAATGGTTTTTATATTTTTGGCGAACTCCTTTTGTGGTGGATTTCTTGATACGGGTAGGCTATGACTTTTTTCATATTTGAGCTTCCTAATCTATCGCTCTGAAATCATAATAGATTATTTTGCAAATTGCCATCTCTGCTGTTTTATATAATTTAATCGGTATTATTTTCAACCACGCCAATGAGTGTCTTCAATAGGCTTTAAGGGATATATTCGTGCATTATCAGTTCATTATAGGTCTCAATTCAGCCACTGGTACACTTTCTAAAGTAAAAACTCGATGTCTAAATATCTTTCAATTAAACGCTCAAGTTCAGATTATATGTCCAATTCTTTATAAATATTAAATTCAGCCACATTGTACACTTTTCAGAATTAAAAGTCGACGTACAGTTCTCCTTCAATTAAACATACACGTTTAGTGGAAAGTTAGATTGTGTCGCTACTGTATACAGCTCTTTAGACAACTATATCCCTTAAATGTTAACTTTCCTTTTACAGGTGGAAATGCTGATATGGTTTCTATTTGGTCCGAAGCTGAAGGGAGACCTTACATGCAGTTCATTCATTTTGCCTTCGCATTTGGTGGAGTTATTTCCCCTTTAATAACAGCCCCGTTTCTGTCACCAAGTACACAAGCTAACGCATTGAATACGTCGACCTCCGACTTTGAAAACACAACAGTAGTCGGGGATAATACAACATCTCCTTCTAATATTACATCAAACGTCTCAGAAGGTGCAGTTGAAATCCAATTAATATACGCCTACATTATTGCTGGTATCCTCACTTTCATTGCTGCTTCATGTTGTCTGGTGATCTATTGTAAGATGAAAGCCACAAAAAAGAAGACACAGACGAAAAAAGAGGCACCAGTCGAGGAAAAGAGAGATTTGCCACTAAAATATTATATCTTAACTGTCGTTTTGCTGGATCTAATGTATGTGTTTTACTGTTCTGTAGAGGACACTTTTGCAGCTTATCTGTTAACTTTCACAGTCCTACACTTGAAGTGGAGCAAAAGTAGTGGAAGTCAAATAACTTCATTGTTTTGGGCATCTTTTGCCGTATCCAGATTTTTAGGGATATTTTTTATTGGTTGTTTAAGACCAGTTAGAATGTTAGCAATATGTTTCTTCGGCTTATTTGTTAGTTTGTTAGCATTTTTGTTATGTGCCTACTACCATATTTACCCGGGTATATGGGTTTTCACCGTATTCGTAGGATTCTCATTATCAGTTATTTTTCCAACTGGCTTTACCTGGACACAAGAAAGTTTAGTTAAGGTTAGTGGTAAGGTAGCTTCATCGATATTGATAGCCGCTTCATTGGGCACAATGATAAATCCGTTGATAATAGGGTATTTAATGGAGGAGGTGCATCCGATGTGGTATGCCTATCTCTTGATATCACATTGCTTTCTTACTATCCTAATATTTCTTATATTATTGTACATTTCAAAATTCGTTCTGGTTAATGTAAGGATAAGGGAGTGTAGAGAAATCGAAATTCCAGTGAGCTCGTAATGTAAATGCTGTTTAAATTAAATTTTTTGTTTTAAAAAAAGTTGCTATTCTGTACAATTTGTTTGTTGAAACATTAATACTGTTTCTCAGTCAAAGGTCGACCTACTTGTCCTGGAAGGGTGGATTTTGAAAGCCAACCGCCTACCGCTGCCAACCGACATACCGGAGTGAAAAAAAGGCGCTAAAATGAGCAATGTTAAATTTAAGGATCGTAGATTTTCATACTATACAAAACGAAACTATTCAATTTGACGGAATTTTTGTTGACGTCAATATTATGGAACCAACAACTATTTAAAAAATGAAACGAAACAAAATAATATTTCTTTTCTTGCTTTGAGATATTTTCCTTCACATTTTCTGATTCAATTCGTGTTTAAAATAGCAATAAAATGGGGCACACAATCAAACGTACAAAAACTCTAGATTTTTTTTTTGACCGATAACAACGACTGAACAAGGTCGTTTGTATCAGAGTTACTCCCCTTAACTTTTTACTGTCGTCGGGAGTATGGAGCATCAAGGCCAAGGAATCTTTCTTCCACCTATAAGAATTTTTTCAAAATCAATCCTTGACGTAGACTATAATAATTCTGCGAATGCTCCTCCTGTTAATCCAACAGAATCATCGATATATGTAGTGGATAAAAATCTTCCCCAAGACTGGAAGCATACTTCCAGGATAAGACCACATGGTGATGATGGTTGGTTGATCGAAAAAGTTGCGGCGAAAGATGTGACTAATCATTGTGAAAATATTGGTGATTGTCATGTCATGAGGCAAACTTATTATAAGCATGGCAACCCGAAGAATTCTGATGTCAGGAAGATGATAACTGAAATAGAAACCTTTAAGGATAAAGATAGAAAATTTGGTGAGTAACTAGGCCCTATAGTCTAAAGTATATTTAAAAATTAGGCACAGATATCAGATTTCCTAAACCTACACATAATATAGTCATTGTCTGTTTAAAAGGATAAACGAAGTTCCAAGAAATCCTTTAAATTTAGCAAAAGTGTTTCTGATGATCTCCTTGAATATCATTGTCTGAATATGGGAAATAGTTTTGAGCTTTTGCAGAAAAAAAAGGCCATGAAGAAAAAAAAATGTTTTAATTTGTTTCGTTTCATTTTGAAAATAATTTTGATTCCAAAATATTTACGTCAAAAAAAATTCCATCAAATTGAATAGTTTCGTTTTGTAGTATGAAAATCGACGATCCTTAAACTTAACAATGCTCATTTTAGCGCCAATGTTTGAATATCATTGTGTAATTTTCATAACCCTTACGATGTGGGATAATTTACTTACTTCCGGTCTGTTTCTAGTGATAAGAAGAATCATTGATTAGTGTTCGAGGCAGCCGATGTGGTATTATGTAAATGCCTGGCATTAAAAATCCATAACCTTCAAGGCTAGACAAGCGACAAGCAATTCAGAGAATAGAATTGTTTTCTAAAAGGCGGGAAATTTGTAGTCTTGACTTACCAGACTCAACTATAAAACCGCGGATCGCGCGTGGATTTGCGATAGCCCTGTTATAAAACCTGGCTTCTCTATTTTTATTTTCCAGTGAGCGGGTGAGTAAATCTATTTTTATATGAAACAAATAGTGTAAGTTGTAAACATTTGCTTTTGTCAATAAAGAAACTATCATCAAGTCTTTCTATTATTTCCACAGTGGCAAATAGTATGCTAAGAAAATAGCTTATTTTGTTGGCTATATTACTATGTGGCAAATCCAATGGAATCAATAAAATGAAATGTATTATTAAACATGCCAGTAGGGAAGGTCGAAGTTGTATGAGACATTCTTCTGGCATGCACTATGAGGTATTGGAATGAATATATCATAAACATTTCTTCTTGACCTATTTATTTGAACTTATGGTGACACTGACTGTGTTATTGGCCTATTTCTGTATATATCCAAATGTATATCCAGGTAAGAAGTAGCTGCTGTATACCTGGTTTGAAAGAAAATCGCGCGTGTCCTAAGCTATATATCGAACATAAACTCTTTACGATCTTAGCGTCTGTTACTCAGCATATAAAGAGCTTCTGATAACATTACGAGTTTCTTCTATAACGTAGACGACAGTCATACACTAGCCTAGCATGTGCAAAACGACATTGGGAGATAGGCCTACCCACTTTTTATATTAGAACATTTTTCTCTGGACCAGATCGCGGTAGCCCGCAAAGCTACCATCAAAAGTAACGACTGGGTGAAGCGACAACGACAAGTGTTGAAATCCGAATGACTGTCGGATCCCTTCGGGTGCAAACCATATAAAATTACGAAATGCGAACCGGGGCTTTAAAGGGCCATTGCTTTCTAACCATATGCTTATTATATGCCATCTATGTGCAACTTAAAGCTATGTTTCTTTCTCAGACACTCACTGTTGGCAGAAATATTCTTTTTTTTAACCCATATGTTTTGAGATTTGTCTGCAAAACCAAGATATATTTCGAAAGATGAATATTTTGTAGTACAGTCATATCACCCTTTTTCTCCGTACCTACACATTTTTGTTACGTCTTCGATTTGTCTTTAACGGAACTAATCTAGCATCAGCTATTTAAAACTGCGTGCGCAGCCAAATGTTCAAATGTCACAGAGTCACGTGATACTAACACAACGATTGTTACGCTGATGCCTATCACTAATTTACAGACTTCGTAAAAGTAATTTAACATTATGTTAGAAAAAAGTCTGACAATTGTCAAAATATCCATCAGAGTCTGGACTAGAGGAAGATGTTTGGGACCATTTCAATACCTGACAAAATAAGCCTGAAATTAGGCGCCGATTTGCACTCAACGTCTTGTCTGGAGTGATAAAAGTTTATGGATTCTTTTACAAGGATTACCGGCTATTGCAGGCTACTGGAGTGTTTACAACTAAAAATACGAAAATCAAATAAAGTGCCTGACCTCCAAGTTCTATGTGCACTCAGAGGATTGAAATGTCTGTCCCACAACTGGTGATGTTGAGTGATAGACAGATGGGGTAAAGATGGGGTAAATTTATTACAGATTTTTGTATCATCAAAAGGCGGGGGAGAATTTATTTATCTAAACCTGTCAATTAACCCTAGCGCTTAAGAAAATAAGAAAAATATAAGAGTTTTTAAGTTCTTTCGTTAAGCATTTACAGTAGTAGAAGAAATTTAAAAAGCTGCCAGTGGTCGTATGTTATTATGCCTGGCAAACATTTTAAAAAGTTGAGAGATCGTCTACACACACGTTATTCTACTAATATTTAGTTTCTTTACAAAAACGTGACGAGTCTATGAATTTTCAACAACGTATTATTCAAGGTCGGTCGAAAATAGCCATCTTACCACATATTTTGTTGCTCGTGGGTCAACAGACTCATTCAAGACTCGGAGAGTTTGTTGACCCTAATAACTAACTTTGAGATCCAATCCCGGCATAATAAGAGCTAATACCTTCCGATTTTTCAACCTGTCAGCGACTCAGGTCGGGAAGGATGGGGTAATAAAAAGAGGACACTGGTGTTCAATGTTGAGCACAGTGAAAATCCCTCGACAATTTGAGACCGATGCCACAGGCAAATTTCCTTCACTGCAGAGTGCAAGTATTGCCCGTTTTTAACCAAATCGATGCAGGAAAATAAGGCAATAACCTTACATTCTATTTCCATGCGCAGAAGGTCGAATCATAAAATATGCCATTTCATCTTCATTTAAATAATGCCCACAAAGAAAAAATCCTATGTATATATACAGACACTTTTAGTAAATCAAAGTAGGCTAGAAGTCAAACGGCTAAATGAACTTTAACCAGGTCAAGTGAGGTTCTTAAAGACGGTAGCACACGAGTCGCCGACAGCAAGCTAGTTTGATATTTGTTGGCGATTGTATTCTTCGTGTGCCCACACTCATAACGAAGCAATACACAATACTCAATACTCGTCATCCAATTAGTCATTCTAAATATTTTTTTTATAACGTGTTAAATATAAACTCACATGACACATGACATCACAAAAGGCCAAAAAGAAATGCGCAAAACGACCAATTTGAAATTTTCTTTGTTCTCTCTCTATGAAAATCTTGATAAGACTAAAGTCTGCGACAAAAATCGTTCGTGTGCCCCCACCTTAAATGTACTTGTATCAAATGTACTTTAAGTTGGCTCTTAAAGTTCATAATATATTGAAGGTTATTATCCGACCATTTGTATTGGTTGAAATTTGATGCTTTTTGTCCGCGCCCTATGATCAATGAAATATTGAGAAGTTCATTGTCTTTAAATAAATGGTTCATGGTCATAACAAAGATAGCTGTGTGGATATGATATTCCTTACTGTATTGACACGGTTACTGACGTCTGACATCTAGAAGATATTCATCCATGATCTGATAAAATTATTATATGGACATATTGGGGGGTTGATTTTAGTCATGAAAATATGTAAATTCAGAAGTAGACTACTAAAAATGTACGAAAATCACCTTATTCCTTCAAATTGATCTCAAATTAGGAATTTCTTTTCCTATTTCTATAGATGTATTTTCTATCTAAGGCAGTGTCTCAAAAAAAGACGACTCGTCTGTGTAATTTTAGAACGCGGAGAGTTCTGGACACACATGGATTTGAAGGCTCAATTCTCAACATAGAACATTATTACAGATTGACTTAGCTAAACAATTTCCGTTTCTGAGACTTAGGTACACAACTGTCCATTTAGGTGAGTTCACTTTACTGAGTAAATCTACTCACTATCAATAATCTACTAATTTAGATGTTTTGAGTGATGAGTTGTGTTAAAAACAGTTCACCTTACTGAGTGGTGTTTGAAATCTACTCACTATCAATAATCTACTAATTTAGACTGTTTTAAATAATGAGTTGTGTTAAAAACAGTTCACCTTACTGAGTAATGTTTAAAATCTACTCACTTTCAATAATCTACTAATTTAGACTGTTTTAAATAATGAATTGTGTTAAAAAAAGTTCACCTTACTGAGTAGTGTTTGAAATCTATTCACTATCAATAATCTACTAATTTAGATGTTTTGAGTGATGAGTTGTGTTAAAAACAGTTCACCTTACTGACTAGTGTTTGAAATCTACTAACTATCAATAATCTACTAATTTAGACTGTTTTAAATAATGAGTTGTGTTAAAAACAGTTCACCTTACTGAGTAGTGTTTGAAATCTACTCACTATCAATAATCTACTAATTTAGACTGTTTTAAGTGATGAGTTGTGTTAAAAACAGTTCACCTTACTGAGTAGTGTTTGAAATCTACTCACTATCAATAATCTACTAATTTAGATGTTTTAAATAATGAATTGTGTTAAAAAAAAGTTCACCTTACTGAGTAATGTTTGATATCTACTCACTATCAATAATCTACTAATTTAGACTGTTTTAAATAATGAGTTGTGTTAAAAACAGTTCACCTTACTGAGTAATGTTTAAAATCTACTCACTATCAATAATCTACTAATTTAGACTGTTTTAAATAATGAGTTGTGTTAAAAACAGTTCACCTTACTGAGTAGTGTTTGAAATCTACTAACTATCAATCTACTAATTTAGATGTTTTATGTAATGAGTTGTGTTAAAAAAGTTCACCTTACTGAGTAGTGTTTGAAATCTACTCACTATCAATAATCTACTAATTTAGACTGTTTTAAGTAATGAGTTGTGTTAAAAACAGTTCACCTTACTGTGTAGTGTTTGAAATCTACTCACTATCAATAATCTACTAATTTAGACTGTGTTAAATAATGAATTGTGTTAAAAAAAAGTTCACCTTACTGAGTAGTGTTTGAAATCTACTCACTATCAATAATCTACCAATTTAGACTGTTTTAAATAATGAGTTGTGTTAAAAAACAGTTCACCTTACTGAGTAGTGTTTGATATCTACTCACTATCAATAATCTACTAATTTAGACTGTTTTAAATAATGAGTTGTGTTAAAAACAGTTCACCTTACTGAGTAATGTTTAAAATCTACTCACTATCAATAATCTACTAATTTAGACTGTTTTAAATAATGAGTTGTGTTAAAAACAGTTCACCTTACTGAGTAGTGTTTGAAATCTACTAACTATCAATAATCTACTAATTTAGATGTTTTAAATGATGAGTTGTGTTAAAAACAGTTCACCTTACTGAGTAGTGTTTGAAATCTACTCACTATCAATAATCTACTAATTTAGACTGTTTTAAGTGATGAGTTGTGTTAAAAACAGTTCACCTTACTGAGTAGTGTTTGAAATCTACTCACTATCAATAATCTACTAATTTAAACTGTTTTAAGTGATGAGTTGTGTTAAAAACAGTTCACCTTACTGAGTAGTGTTTGAAATCTACTCACTATCAATAATCTACTAATTTAGATGTTTTTAGTTAAGAGTTGTGCTTGAATATCTTTTTACCCTAACGTGTGACGAAAAGTTGAATAATATTAATCATATAAGCAATAAATGGCCCTGATACACAATAAAAGCTAGACAATTTCTTTACAATTTATTTAGACTGATGTCAGATTGCTCTGACATTATCAACTGCAATGTAATATGTATTATAATGGCGAAAACGAATCACACGAAATTATTGTGTTTACTTATAGCTTATAGATTAAATCCACTTCACCAGCTTTACTGAAAATGTTTAGAAAAGTGAACAATGATTCAAAATATCTAGTTTGGTACGTAGGTCCACAGTGATCAAATCTAAGTGAAATATTCTGATTAAAGTGATACTACGTCTTAGAATGAACATAAAATTCAAGAATTTTAAACTTGGCGAATAAGAGCCAGTAGATATACCTGGTGTACTTAGTAATTATCCATAAATATGCAATTACTTAGTTTTATGAATTTTCCAATTTTCTAGATTTTACAGGCATTCTGTTGTAACTTTATGACACCAGGTAAGTTCACTGATGAATATATACTCATATGACA